CTTTTTTTTTATTAGCGCAGAATGAGCTTTGGCTGCTCTTCATTCGTCCTTTAATTTGTCCTGTTCTCAGCGAGCAAACTAGGCCCTCTGACGGAATTGCTTTGTTGGTGAACAAAAATTTTTTCATTTTCACATGAATTATTCCAGCATTTAATTGAAAAACTCAATTTGGCTTCTTTTCGTAAATTTGTTTGCCCCGATGTAAATGCGATAATTGTTTATAGATGGAATTTTTTCCAATAGGTTTTGTACATTTCATTCGGATCCCGAAGGTGAATCTTATGCCGAGGAGAAAAACAGAAGTTGAATTTTTGTTCAAATTGTTGCTAATTTATTTTTTGAGGTTTCTTTCAAAACAACTCAGTCTGCTTTTTTTCGCATTTTTTAAGGCATTATACAAAGGCTGAAAATTAGTTCAAATAAAAAATAGCAAGTTTGCCGGATCGTACGCAAAAATAATGAAATTTGTTCAAAGAAATTATTATTAGAATTTAAAAAATAGCAGTTGTGTGGTCAGCATTGCTGAATTACTTTGATAGTTTGATCAGCTGCAACTTATATCTCGTTCTTCAGCTATGCTTCGTCTAATGGTTAGTCTGCAGACATGTATTGACTTCTAAAAGCAAAATACTGTTTAGATTAATGGCCGATCAGGATAACACTGTTGTGAAGCATCAAATTCCACATATAACAACAGATCCGCCGAGCAGTGGAGAAAGTTCGCCTCCAGTAAAAGTGCCCGAACTGCTAAAGGGTACTGTGGAAATGTGATTATTCTATTAACATTATTTTTCGTAGCACTCATCTCAATTTCTCTTTCTCTTCTCCTCAGTTAGTATAATTCAGTTTGGCGATCTCTTCTCAGTGAATTTTTCCTTATACTGTTTCAGTTTTAATTCAAAATCTAAAAACCTTCAGCACTCGAAAACTTAGGAAACAATCAAAACTGTGTTTTACTTTTTTAATAATTAAACAGAGTTTTGTGTTGGCAAAATTTGTTTCTTCCACAAGTGGCTTAATAATGCGATGCAAAGAATAGATTCCCTTGGGGAGGAGGTGAGGGGTGCATGATTTCTGCTCTAGTGCTGAATCGCAAATTTCAGCGTTATTTTTTTTGGCAGAATACCCAAATTTTTTCAATTACCAAAGATTAGCTAAAATTAGCGAGACTGGACGATGAGTTGACAGGAAAATCCAATGTTAGCGATATCAGTGAAATCGTTCAGGTAACCTTGACCAGGCCAGATCTCTTTTTGAGGCTTTAACACCTACGGTTTGTAATGTCCAGGTGCTTGCGGTCTGTCCGGATGTAGCAACTGAACAGTTAAGGGCATCATCATTTGTAAAGTACTACCAACAGTGATAAGATTCGAAAAGGCAAGTTTGTTGCCAGCTTTTTTGTCGCATAAAACCGAAATCAAAATTTTACTTCTACTTTTGCGAGAAACACAGAAAAAATTTTTTTATCGCGATGGGATTATACATAATCTCAATTTCCCACATTTTTGAAAAAACTTACATGGGCACGAACCTTTGTTGATTGGTTCATTTTCTTGGTGAAAAGAAATTGTA